TCAGAATTTATAGGATGATCGTCGAATGATCGTACTGAAGAATGTAATTTAGATGTCTCCGAGTACAAGTGTCAGAGACCCACAGGAAGACTGTCAGGTACATAGTTTATTGTTGATCTGAGCGTTTGGCAGTAATTAAAAAACCCCATATATTTTGCGTCTGGAGCTTGATAGGATACTTCGCGTCTGAGAATATTGCCGACGATGATCACAAACACCTCCATGAAAGCCTGTGGCAAGTATTATAAACCGGCATAGTTATTTTTTTAAATGTAAAGAAATGTAACATTGCAGGGCTCGAAATTAACTTTTAAATCTGGTGGTCCATACCAGGATGTATGTGGTCCAGTATAACATTAATAAAATGAGTCATACTTGGGGTATGTCATTTATAAGTAAAATGTAATGTTACAAATCAGTGTCAGTATCACTTTCATTTGTGCACGTGGTCCATATGGCTAATATCTGGTCTTCGTGTACGCCTACTGCATTCCACCAAGTCATAATAGCAGGTTGTGGGTTAAATTTATGCAATGGTTGCCCTAACAGTTTTATTCTTAATAGTTCATTCAGTTTTTCTGTTGTGAGACTGGATCTCCAGTCAGTTTTAATTTTACCCATTATTGAAAACCCTCGCTCACACTCACTAGTGTGAATTGGAATAAGAAGCACAATCTTCACAAGGGTGAGTATATTAACAAACTCTTCTGGCATGTGTCTAAGAAGTCTCTGCCAGAAGTCTAGGTAAGTTAAATGTGGCTGTGTTATTGCAGTGTCTCTGAGAATCAGTTTCAGTTGCCTCCATTCCAGTGGGATATCATTTATTTTACAACTCCGCCTAATGAGCAAATCCTGGAAATGTGTTATGAGTTGCTGTATTTCTATTTGGCCATACTCCAGGAGATCACCAACGTTATCAATGGGCCAATTTCTCTGATTAATTACTTTGCAGCCATTTAACACCTGGTTGTCACTGAAAGATGTAAACCTAACTTCCAGTTGATCAATAGTGTTTTGTATTAATGTCATCTTATCTCTGTTCACCATTTCATCATATTCTTGCTGAGTTAGTGTTCCACCTCGTTCAGCTCTACATGTTACATCCAAAAACTTTATATCATCATTGTCAATTGTGATATGATTATTAAATTCCATTTCCCGTGGCCCAGGGTTTTCTCGCAGCTCCCTTAAGTTGCTTAGTGCAGCTTGAAAACAAGTATCAACTGTTTCAACTGAACTGTCATTCTTTTGAAACATTAATGACAAACGTGATAATACAGTATATATGTCCATCATCACATAAAGAGATTTAGTAAATCTGTAAAACTGTAATTTTCTGCAAAATCCCTTTGCTTTATTTTTTGCATCAATTGACTGCCCTGTGATCGTAACCTGGTCGAGGTGAGTGAACATAGCCGAATAGTTCTTAGTAATATTTATAATTGCACGTTCATGGTGACCAATCCATCTTGTGCCCAGGACGTTGGAAGGTTTGTATACTTTCACATTCGTGGTTTCTCCAGCTAACTGTAAATTTGACCAATTTAATGGCGAGTTCTTATAAAACTTGAAAATATTTACGAGAAAATCCTCAATTTCTTTGAAATATTTACATTGTTCAAGTGCGTGTTTAATAGCCAGTTCCAATCTGTGGGCTACACAATGGACTGATACAAGATGAGGGATATCCGCACGTAATTTCGCACTAACACCCTGTCTCTGACCAAAATTGACGGCAGCCCCGTCTGCACCGAAGCCCACAAGTTTTTCTTTCCAGGTCTGTGCGTCTATTTGAAACTCTTTGTCAAAAGCCGCGTCTATTGACGTTAACATTCCTTTACTATCAGCACGCTCCAGTGCTTGCAAAGAGAAATATTTTGTTGTGGGTCTTCCATCGTCAAACACGCGTAGATACATTATTTCCTCGTCAATAGTTGCCACATCTGTGGCAGAGTCAATTAAAATAGAAAATAACTCGTTATTAGTCACACGTTTCAGTTCTTCTCTGTGGACTTCTGAAATATAGTGAATAAAAGTAGACGCCTGTTTGTCGTTTTTGTAGGCAACCCCAAGATCCACTCCATTTAATTATTGTAATTCACAAAGTCCGGCAAAATCGGTAAAAGTGTGGCTGCCGTTGCCCGAGCAACCGAAACTTTGCTGCGTTCCCGCGCTTTGTTTAGCCTCGTTCACTTGTCGGCGTGCTATGTACACGTGAAAGACGTCTTCTTCCGAATTTTACTACATGTTATACTAATAGGTACTGTAGTTTTGTTGTTTAGACTTGTTCCTGATTCTTTTAGTGCTCCCACTCGTTTATTTATCTCACGGCAGTTTTGGTGTTGTGCGCGCTCTGTACGAGGATTGGGGCAGACGCCATTTTTCGCTTTCACTGGAAGTGAAACGCTCGTTTCACTGCATCTAGTTTTCGTCTTTTTCGCTGCCCAAGTATCGTATATGCTGCCAACGAGGTAGGTAACGTTTGAGGAGTTACTAGAGAATTACTTGAGAAGACTTTTGTTATGTTTAGGCTTATTTTTGGTAGCCTTATCGATTTAGTTGATTTACGTTGGCGTAGTTTACATGCCGAGTCGCCGTTAGTTGTGTAGTTGAGTTGACACTCGTGTAGTTGAGTTTACACTCATCTAAGATTCTCAGTCGTTTTCTATACGATTATGCAAGTCACATTCCATGTACAGTTTGTAATCTATTCGTATGAGCTCAGATTCATGTATAACTTTACCATATTTTGTGTGTACATGTACGATAGATTCGTCTAGTCTCGCCACTAGGTGGCGCACTATGCTGTATACCATTGCCTATCTATTTGCATAGTAGCACTGGTACTTATTACAATACGAATACGCAAGTTCGTGTTATTATTTTCTGAACGTATACTCTTGTATTTCACAGTTTTGACGGTGTTACAATCTTCTCAATATTGTTCGTCATAAAATAAAGTGAAGGTTACATCAGTATTTTGCGTTGGTTACTGGGGCAGCTACAGTCAAAACTCGACAGTCAACAATTTCTGGTCGAAACTATAGTCATTGCTGTGAGGTCAAAGAAAGGAATTGCCTGCACTATCCACTGCATCGTATCGTATACTAAGCTGAACGTCCAGATGTCACTCGGATAAGGTTTCGCTACTATCAGACATCAGTGG